GGAAGGCTGGAGAAAAAGAGGAAGACCACCCAACGAGATGGATTGGCACAGTGGCAGCATCAATTGTCTCAAATGTAGCAACACTTTTGAGGTTGGCCCAGGATTGGGCCGTGTTTCATTCTGTTGTGCATAGGGTCACTATGAGTTGGTACTGACTCGATGGCACCTAACCACAATAACTTGTGTGTTTATTCATTCTTCATTGACGTTGATGCTGGATTATTGATATTCAAGAAGTGGACTTTGCCTCTTTAGAGTGGTCAAAGTAATGCAGCAAAGATAATGCTGAAAATAACCTAATCGTACAAAGGTATAAGGTTATGTTGGTTACTTTGAAGATTATTTTGAAAATTGTAAAAATTATCAAAGTAAAATACTGAAGCAAAGCAATACTTGGAAGAAGCTCTTTCCAAGTTTTCTAACTTTGCCAATGGTATTCTATAGATTTTTTTTAATGGTGTTTTTATTGTTCATTGCAGTTAGCTGATAAAAATAAAATATACAGACACTGTATTTCATAATGAATGCCAACTGGTGTCAGAAATTTATACCTGGTTATAGGCTCATAGCTCTAATCTGGGGTCTCACTAATGTGCCAGTTTTTTAACTCAGAAGACCCCTCCATATTTCCAGTTATCCAATTGACTTCTATGCTAGTGGATGCTTCTTTTTAACAAAGGACATTATTCTACTTGTAGGTTTCATTAAAACATAGAAGTCATTCGTAGATTATAGGAATGAAATACTCCTAATTGAAAATACCTGGAGATGAAGTAATATTGTTAGGAAAGTAGAACATGATATATGCATTTAAAATTCACTACGAGAAAGGAGTCCTGGTGTGGCACTGTGGATTAATGCGCTGGACTGCAAAGTTTGTTTGATCCTCAAGGTTGGCAGTTCAGGCTCACCAGCTGCTCCTGAAAAACCCTCAACAGAGTTGCTATGAGTCACAACCAACAACAACATGAGAAAGAAGGGAGTCCTGGTGTGGTGCTGTAGGATAAGCACTGGATAGCTAACTTCAAGGTTGGTGATTCAAACCCACTTTTGACAGAGTTGCTGTGAGTCAGAATCTACTCAGTGGCACTTAACAACAACAATATGAGTCAGGACTGACTCGCTGGCACTTAACAACATGATGAGAAAGAGGGGTGAATGGTTCCTCTATTCCCTTTCCAGAAGATTTAGACTCTTCTGAAGCCAGAAGGACTGAAGTAGAGAAATGTGCATGCCTTTCAGATCCAATATAAAAAGAATTCAGCTGTGGTTGATCTCTACCCACTTTATGTAGGGAGTCCCTTGGTGGTATAAACAGTCAAGTCTTTTAGCAGTTAACTGAAAATTGATGGTTTTAATACACTCTGAGGTATATTGGAAGAAAGCTCTGCTGATTTACTTCCAAAATATCAGCTATTCAAAACCCTATGGAGCACAGTTCTACTCTGACACATATGGAATCCTCATGAGTTCCAGAGTAAACTTAAAGGCAACTGGTTAAAAAAAAAAAGCAAATTCTGTCTAGAATGCAATCAGATGTACTAATAAGTCGTCAGAGCTTTGCTGTGTCCTGGCACAGGATCAGTCATGGTTCAGAAAACAAGTCCTCCCCGCTTTCCAGGCCTCCACAAGGACATGAGAGTTTTACTCTTTTCTGTGGAGCTGGGCGGTTTTCTATGACCTGTGTTAGTGAATCTTCCTCTGATGTTCTTGCTGAACATCAGTTAACAGGATAGAACTGCCCCATAGAGTTTCCAAGGCTGGCACTGTAGGATCAGCAGCAGACTATAGTTAGCAGTTCAAACCCACCAGCTGTTCCTTGGAAACCCTATGCAGGTCGCTATGAGTCAGAGTTGACTTGATCAACAAGAGTTGACAAGAACAACAACAACACTATAGAAGCCATATCTTTCTCCCATAGAGTGGCTGGTGGGTTCGAAACACCAACCTTTCAGTTAACAACTGAATGCTTAACCACTGTGCCACCAGGGCTCCTACACTGGTAACCCACCCTCTGCCATCAAGCCAATTCCAGCTCATAGTGACCCTCTTTAGGGTTTCTGAGGCTGTAAATCTTTACAGGAACAGGAAGCCTCATCTTTGTCCTGTGAAGTGATTGATGGGCTTGAATTGCAGCCCTCGAGGTTAGCAGTCCAGTGCTTCTCCTACAATGTCACCATGGCTCCTTCCTACACTGGTTGTTGTTGTGTGCCCTTGAGTCATTCTGACCCACAGTGACCCTGTAAAGGATTTCCTAGGAGTAGCTGGTGAGCTTGAGCCAGTGACCTTGTGGTAGTGGGAACGATTAAAGGAAATGCATAGAGCCTATTGAGAATATCTAGACAACCTGGTTGTTGGGAAGAGGCATCACACATGACAAGGGAAGACCTGGGTTTGAATCCTCACTCTGTCACTTCTCAGCTAGGTAGTATATCCCAGATCTGGTAAAAGAGGAGTGATTTTGATGATAATGGCAACTATCATAGTGCATTACTACTCTTCTCATTCATTACTAAGCCTATCAAGAATCCTATGGCAAAATCCTATCACATTTTCATTCTTATTCTCACGCCATAGAGAAGGAGGCAAAGTCAGCCTGAAGGTAGAGAGTCTTTGGATAGAATTAGTTAGAACTGGTTTGCAAACCTTCAAATCGCTCACTAGCTGTGTGACCTTGAGTAAGTACTTAATCTTCCTGAATCTCTGTTTCCTCATGTGTACAATTGGTATAACTACAAAGCAGGAGAAAACATTTGTTGAACATTTATTAAATGCCAGGACTTTCTCAAGCACATGGTATGAATTTACTCAGGTATATTTCACAGTTATCCTATGTTATAAATAAAATTATTATTCACACTTGACAAAAGAGGAAACCAAGAAGTTACATTTATTCGTATGACTAGGCGGTATGGCACCACAGTTTGAATGTAGGGATAGTAATCTATCTCACAGCATTATCCCAAAGTTCACGTAAACTCTTGTGGTAAAGTGTGTGGAAATAATTTGTAACAAGAGTAGCATAAAGGATGGGAGGGGATATCAATACAATTATGCCATAATAAAGTTCTTACATTATACTTGAAGTGGTAGACTGATAAATGTACAGAAGTATGTTGTCATGTCGTATCATATCATATATCACATTATAAGAAGAAATGAAATGGAATAATAAAAACACTAATTTAATACAAAAGTCAGGAAAGAAGCAAAAAATGAATGGGAAAAGTAGAAACTAAACAGTAAGATGGTTGACTGCAATCTAACCACATCAATAAAAGGCAGAGATGTTCAAATTGGATAAAAAAAGAAATACACAATTATATGCTACTTAAGATATACTTCATAAAGACAGATAAATTAGACAGGTGGAAAATAGAAATATTCATCATGCAAATACTACGGATAAGAAAGGTGGCTTAGTTAATGAGATCAAAGTAGACATCAAGACATGGGGAATTACCAGAAAGAAAGGCAGAAATTTTATAATGGTAAGTTTAATTCATGAAGAACACGTAGCAATTATAAATGAGTTGTTAAGTAAGTGCCGTTGAGTCAGTTCCGACCCTTAGTGACCCTGTACAGGGTTTCCGAGGGTGTAAATCTTTACGGGAGTAGAAAGCCTGATCTTTCTCCCGAGGAGCAGCTGGTAGTTTCAAACCGCTGACCTTAAGGTTCGCAGCCCGATTCGTAACCACTACGCTACCAGAGTATGCAATTAATAAAGAACACATAATTCTAAATGAATATTCATCTAATAACAGAGTTGTAAAATACACAAACAAAAATAAAGGGTCAAGCAGGCAGCTCCACAGGTATTGTTGTTGTTGTTGTTAAGTGCCATTGAGTCGGGTCCGACCCATAGCGACCCTGTACAGGGTTTCCAAGGGTGTAAATCTTTACGGGAGTAGAAAGCCTCATCTTTCTCCCACGGAGCGGCTGGTAGTTTCGAACCGCTGACCTTAAGGTTCGCAGTCCAATTCGTAACCACTACGCTACCAGAGCTCCCTGCTCCACAGGTATAGTTGGAGATTTTAGGAGCTCCTTTTTAGTTACTAACAGAACAAGCAGACAGACAATCAACAAAAGTAACCCAGTCAATTTAATCTATTTTATGTTTATAAGACACAACAGACTATTCCCTAGAAGAGAGGATAGTGACCCTTCATCTTGTCTTGTGTACTTTGGACATATTCTCAAGAGGGACTAGTCTCTGGAGAAGGCGCTCATGCTTGGTAAGGTACCAGTTGTTGCTGTTAAATGCTGTTGAGTTGATTCCTACTCATAGCGAACCTATATAGGGTTTCTGAGGTGGTTGGTGGGTTTGAACCACTGACCTTGAGGTTACTGTATTTTTCCTACAGTGCCGTAACAGAGCTGTAAAGTAGAGGATGAGTGAAAAAGCAGACTTTCAAGGAGCTGGATTAACACAGTAGCTGCAACAATGGGCTGAAACAACAGTTGTGAAGAAGGTGCATGACCATGCAGTATTCTGTTGCACATAGGGTTGCTGTGAGTGAGAACCTATTGTTGTTGTGAAGTGCCGTCCAGTCGGTTCCGACCCATAACCACCCTGTACAGGGTTCCAAGGAGCGGTTGGTGAGCTTGAACCGCCGACCTTGCAGTACAAACCAACTTTGCAGTCCAACGTATTAACCCAAAAACTCAAACCAGGATCGAGTCAGTTCCGACCCACAGCTACTCTGTATAGGGTTTCCAAGGACAGGCTGGTGACCTTGAATCAACGACCTTGTGATTCAGACTGACTTTGCAGTCCAGCGCATTAATCCACAGCACCACACCAGGACTCCAAGAACTTATTTGTTGTTGTTAGGTGCCTTCGAGTGACCTTATGCACAGCAGAACAAAACACTGCCCAATCCTGGGCCTCCTAGATGGCACCAAATGAAAAACAACAAATAATAACCGAAAAATATACATTGAAGTGTAAGTAGAACACTCATCTACTAAGACCCTATGATGGCATAAAATAAGTTGCCATGAATTTTAAAGAAGAACCACTTGCAAGTACAATGAGGGTGAGGGTGAACTATTTGTTTCGGCATGTATGATTCTGAATTCTACTCTAACATGGGAAATTTTCTAGCACCATCTTCCCAATTTGCTAGCAAATAAATTTTTTTTTTTTTTTTGCAAATTAGATTTCCCGAGATCTAACCAAGATTAATATCCAATTTTTCAATTCCTCACACAATTGAGTTGTTTAAATGCAAATTGCAAAGAACGATTAGACTTGAACTTGGTCTCATTTTCCCTGGGTTCCTTATTTCTCAGAAAATGCAATCTCGCACCTGAAGGTTGGCACCATATGATTTAGAGACTGCCACACTGTTGCTTAAGATTTTCTAAAATAATCTCAGCTGCCACTGAGGACAATGAACTTCTGCAAAAGGGAAGCTGTCAATCGGGGCTCTTTTCTGCAGAGTCATTAGTCTGTTGCTCAGCTCACTTCTGGGACTGAGGGAAGAAATGGTGTCCTGCTCCTCTGAAACAAACAGTCCTGTGAATGTGTGTGTATGTTGCGGGGGAGGGGGGGAGGGGAGGGGTGAGATTCTCAAGAGGCAGTCTCTTAAATTAAAAGCTTTGGAAGATTAAATGTAGCCAGTTGCTCCTAAACTGATGTCGGTTGGTCTGAAAATGTATGCTAATGGCTATTTCCAAGGGAGCTTACTCATGACTTTCATTAGATTCAAGGAAAGAGAAACCCTGACCTCTAAAATGCTAGAAGGACAAGTGTGGTGCTGTAGGATAAACACTGCACCACAAGCTTGGTTTGAGCCACAAGGTTGGTGGTTCAAGCTCACCAGCCGCTCCTTGGAAACCCTATTCAGGGTTGTTAAAAGTTGGAACTGATTCCACGGCACTTAACAACAAGTGCGTCTTCATAGCTTTGGTGGCGCTGCAGAATAAAGTGTTGGATTGCTAACCAAAACGTCAACAGTTCAACCCTACCAGCCACTCCGTGGGAGAAAGATAAGGCTTTCTGCTCTGGTAAAGATTTTCAGCCTTGGAAACCCTATACAGAGTCACTATGAGTCAAAATCAACTAGATGGCAGTGAGCTCTGGTGACGCAGTTGCTAAAGCACTCAGCGCTAAACATAAGGTCATTGCAGCTGCTTCTGGAAAAAGAGGTGGCAGTCGGCTTCCGTAAACATTTAAGGTCTTGGAAACCCTAAGGGGCTGTTTGACTTTCCTATAGGGTGGACCTGATTCCAAATCTACTTGTTGGTTGTTGTTAAGTGCCGTCAAATTGGTTCCGACCCATAGTGACCCTGTATATGGTTTGAAGGAGCGGTTAGTGAGCTTGAACCAACGACCTTTTAGTTCATACCAACTTTGCAGTCCAGCACATTAGCCTACACCGCTGCACCAAGACTTCCACTTGATGATAGCAAGTTTTTTGGTTTTTTTTTTGTAAAGCACCCTCATACCTTAGCCCTACAAAGGACTGAGTTTCTCTTTCCTCATCTCCGAATTAGGGTAGGGTTGTATGAAAACATTCAATGTACTCTACTCATAGGTTTTACTAACAAGGCACTTCGCTAGCAAAAGCAGCGACCCTAGCTTCCAAAGCTTTTTATTTTTGTCTGAGTCCATTTATTAATCTTCTGTAGAATAAAACTCAAATGATGCTGGCTTAGAAAGTCACTTCTTTTGTTTTTTCCATTGATCTCCAGTGCTTACTGAGCCTGCACTCCGTGGTAATCACTTATCAGGTGCTGTGGCGCCGCCTTGGAGACAAGCACCCTGCCATAAAGGAACCTCTACTGCAGACTCTGGTACCGTAGTGGTTATGAATCAGGCTATGAACCGCAATGTCAGCAGTTCGAAACTACCAGCTGTTCCGCAGGAGAAAGATAAGGCTTTCTGCTCCCATAAAGATTTACAGCCTCGGAAACTCTGTACAGGGTCGCTATGAGTCGGAACCGACTCCACAGCACATAACAACAACTGCAGACACAGGAGCCCAGCCCCGTGGTAGAGACCATGGAACTCAGATGGACACAGGACTCGAGCCCATCCAGCCCACTTCTCACTAACAAAATCATTGCACCTCTCTGAACCTCAGTTTTAGATTCCTCATCTGTGAAATGGTGCTATGCAGGCAGCCACTATCCCTGTGAGTTTTGGTTCTTTGAGGCTCATGCTTGGGTTGTGTGTCCTGTCTTGCCTCTGTTACAAGCTGTTTTTGCCCTAGTCAAACTGGCTATACCTTGAAAAAGGCCAAGACTTTTCCAGGCCAGGTTCTGCCAGAGATCTCCTGGCCTTAAAAAAAAAAAAATTATGATAACATTCTATCACCTTTCTCTCTTTTATTTGTTTTCTCAATACTCACACTATCTGATAAATCTGTTTGTTTATAATATCTTTTCACTAGGACTTGTTCAGCTCCTGGTGCAGAACAGTATCTAGCTGAGTAACTTGCCTAGTGATATACATTTGTTGAATGATTGAAAAAATCAAATACAGCAGTAGGTAATGAATGTAGGCAGAGGGCTGGTACAGACTAAAAAGTAATCAACATTAGCAATGACACCATTTTATACTTGTCATTACAACATCGACATTTCAAAAGTGGCAGTGTGTTTACATTTGCAAAACAAATTAAGTTAAAAAGAAGTCCTAGGCTTAGAACAATAGTCCCATATCAAAGGTTAACTCAAGTTCCAAGAATGCAAAACAGAAAATCAGTCAGTTTTTAAATCAAGCCCCCACCTCAGGCTCTCCACCCACAAGATTTACAAAAAATTCTTGGGTGGTTTTCCCCCTGGCTATATGTGACAAGTATTAAAGTGGCAGGTTACAAATTAGGTAAAGGACACGCTGAGGTTACTTCAGAGAGGGAAAGGTTCCTTCTACCTGGCGCATGTGGATGCAAGGCAGGACTTGGATGGACAGGTAAGACTGGGAAGGGGATCCTTTACTGATGGGGAGGGAGCAGAGCTGTTGCTGGTGCAAGTCATTTCCAGAGCAGGGCCCTGGAGGTAGCTTAGGAGAGATTTTGGAAGCTTCTTCCTCAAATTTCCACCAGAGCCACCAAAAGCCATCCCCAGTAAACGCTCAACTCAATTAGAGAACTGGGCTTGCTCTACAAACGCAGTAGCGCCAAGACACACTCACTCAGAAACCTTTACAAACTGTTTTGGGGTCCAGGGTGGCACAAACATTTGTGTTTGACTCCTAACCTAAGTCGCTACTGCTCCTCCTCTGTGTTTGGTGCCACTGAGTTGATTCCAACTTAGAGGGATTCCATTTATTTGGTCTCCGGTGTAGCATGGTGGCCTCATGTAGCTTGTAGGGTAAGCACTGGACCTCCAGGTTGGTTCAGATTGCGAAGTCGGTGTTCAAACTTCCCAGCTGCTCCTCGGAAACCCTATACAGGATTACTATGAGTCGGAACTGACTCGATGGCACTTAACCACACCATCACTGACCTCTGTACTGTGTTTATGCTGAAGGTTTCCCTGATCTGGATGGTTGTCTTTGTCTGGACTCCATAGATTCAGCACTGGACCCTGAACCACAAGGTTGTTGTTATGTGCCATGGAGTCGGTTCCGACTCATAGCGACCCTCTACAGGGTTTCCGAAGCTGTAAACCTTTATGGGAGCAGAAAGCTTCATCTTTCTCCAGCGGAACAGCTGGTAGTTTTAAACTGCTGACCTTGAGGTTAGCAGCCCTGTTCATAACCACTACGCTACCAGAGCTCCTTCCAATTGTGTAGGGGGCAGGAAATAGCTATAGGACTAGTCAAACTGCTTAATTGTATCTTTGAGGAACTTTTAATATGTCATAAATATATGGAGAAATATATCATATGTATTATTTGTTGTTGTTAAGTGCCGTTGAATCGGTTCCAACCCATAGCGACCCTGTACAGGGTTTCCGAGGATGTAAATCTTTACGGGAGTAGAAAGCCTCATCTTTCTCCCGCGGAGCGGCTGGTAGTTTCGAAGCCCTGACCTTAAGGTTCGCAGCCCGATTTGTAACCACTACGCTACCAGAGCTGCTCCTAGAGAACCCCATACAGGGTAGCAGCACCACAGAAGACAGACCTGGGGTCCGCTTCCATAAAGACAGTTTGCCAGGCCTTTCTTCCACAGCCCCACTGAGTGGTTTCAAACTGCTAACCTTTCAGTTAAGGGAAAGCAAACTAGTTGTACCACCTCGGGCCCTGAGAGTTGTATGTCAATCAATATTCCTACGTATTGTAATTGATTTGGTCTTGTAGTGACTTTGTGTAAGTAGAACTGCCTCATGGGGTTTCCTAGCCGGTGTGGCGCTGTGGGATAAAGCAGTGAACCACAAGGTCAGTTTGAACTGCAAGGTCAGCGGTTCAAACTCACCAGTTGCTCTTTGAAAACCCTATACAGGGTTGCTATGAGTAGGAATCGACTGGCTGGCACTTAACAACACCTATCTTTATGAGAGAAAATTGCCTGTCCTTTCTCCCACTGAACATGCTTGTGCTTTCGAACCGCCAACCTTGCTGTGAGCAGCCAGAAGTTGACCAATTGTGCCAACAGGATTCTTTAAGAACTGTATACCCCAAACCAACCAAACCTCCGGCTACCAAGTCGATTCCAATTCATAACCCTATGTAGACAACTAAGACAACAAACTCTTTTTCACTCTGAGCAGCTGGTAGAATGGAACCAGTGACCTTGAGCACTCAAATACCTAACCCACAGCACCATACCTAACCCACAGCACCATCAGGGCTGCTTTAAGAGTTCTGTAGGTCTGAGAATTCCAGTGGGGGTACGCAAGTTAGATGAGCTGCAACCTATACTGTTGTTAGAGTCTGTCAGGGCTGTTACAGTGCTTTTGGCCCATAGAATTTATGGATTTATGTGCTCCTTCAAAATAATAGCTCCTAGTATTTGCTGGCTGTATCATGAAACAAATTGTGAAGGCACTGTATCTTTTAAAAAAAAATCCCCTTTTGTAGCACTTCCTTAAAAGTAGCTACTTAATGCGATTCTGCCAGCAAGTTCTTGAACAAGTCTGCCCTTACCAAGTCTGGTATTAATGAAGCATCTTCATAAAAGGTTGAAGTATTCTTTCTGGTAAGTGTTCAGCTTATGTTTTTCAAAATACATCATAATTGTTAATTTTCTCCTTTGGTTTACCAAGTAATTCTCACTGATGGACTATTACAGGAAGTAAATTATTAAAGTCATCAATGTTTTCAAGCTTTTCCCATTGGATTTACTACTACTTTTAAGAGTTGTGATAGTTGTATGGGAGGATTTTAATCAAAGACAGTAGCTTCATTTTAAGTACTTAATTCAAAATATACATTTGCTTCAGTGCTTATAAATTCAGGTATAATTAATTGAAGGACATCGACTTGGCCTTCTAAACAAAATTTACTACTGATAATAGTCTTTGGGAACCATAGCCTTAATAGTAATTTATGCTTTTTTTTCTCATTTTCTTTATTGAACTTAGCAGCATAGAAGAATTTTAATGTTTGAAACTATGTTGATACTATTATATTTATAATATAGACATTTGTTTATATTGCATCAGCATAGTATGCAGTGCTAAATATTCAAGAATAAATTCATGATCTTCACGGGATACATGTTAAGAACTTTTGAAAAGGCCTTGCTGGGTAATGCTAAGCAGATAATAAGCACAGTTTCTTGGTATGTGGGTTTACTTATCTGGTTTTTTTGTGTGGTTATGACTTGTTCTCTTCTGAATCACATGGGATCGCCAAGAATGAAATTGATTTGATGGTAATGGTCATAGAACAGAGAGCTAAATCACATTTAATGTGAGACTGTGTGAACATGGCTGTAAATTACTTACAGGAATAAAAAGACAGAAAATTATAGAGCAGAACTCTTCACCTAGGATTCAAGGGAGTCTTAGGGTAGGCGTCATAAGCTAAATTGTATTTGTAATGTTGTCTGTTGTTAAGTGCCGTCCAATGTACTTTAGCAAGCGAAGAAGCTTGTCTTGCACCATCTGAGAATCAGAAAGCTCCATGAGACCAAAAATGATTTCTAAAAAGTCAGTTGTAAATGGAAAGCTATGCTAAGGAGTTCTAGTGTGGCACTGTAGGATAAGAACTGGACTGCTAACGGCAAGGTTGAGGTTCAAATCCATCAGCCACTCCTCAGAAACCCTATATAGGGTCACCATGAATTGGAACCTTGTGGTTCCAAGTCCAATGCTGATCCTACAGTGTCACACCAGGAGTCCACTTCTGTAAAGATTGGTTGTTGGTTGTTATGTGCCGTGGAGTCGATTCTGCTCATAGTGACCCTGTATAGGGTTTCTGAGGCTATAAATCTTTATATAGGAGCAGAAAGCCTCATCTTTCTCCCGTGGAACGACTGGTAGTTTCCAGCCATGGAAATCCTATGAGGCAGTTCTACTCTGTCCTATAGGACCACTGAGTTGTGGCTGTGTCGGATAAGCACTGGATTGCTAACCGCATGGTCGGCAGTTCAAACCCACAGCCTCTCCTTGGAAATCATTATGAGTCGGAACTGAATCAATGGAACTTAAACAAAAAGACTAAAAGAAGTGTGATGCCTTAAGAATTTTTAAATATGTAATATTTTGATAAATATATTCTCAACTATTTAGCCTAAAAAATTTAATGTAAATAAAAACTCAAATCTATGTAAGTAGCTTAGCTTTAATTTTTAGTATCTATAAGATTCAGGAAATATTTTAAGCTGGATCTTTCAATTCAGTGGCAAACTAACAAGTAAAGATCATATTTAATGCCTTTTTGAACTTTATTTTTCAGACTCATCAATTTATTAATGAATGAAGCATGGTAAGTTGGCATTTAAAATTCCCTTTATTCTCTATCCATTTTGAGGTTAAAACATCTGAATCACCCTAGTAAGGGTATAAAATGGTCTGAAGAAATTGTTCCATGTTAGGTGTTAAAGAGACACTTTTGAAATTTAGGAGTGTTTCATTTTTAAGTAATGACTCACAGACTTCTGTTTGCAAAGATATTTCTTTCATCCCTTTTTCTAGATCAGGCTCCCTGCTCTACAATCCCTTGCTAAAAGTTTACAAGGTTGTTAAATATCAATGCTGTCTTCGGAATGCTATGTTATAGAGAGTGGTCTCAACCTGAGTTGATTTTGCTCCTCAGGGAACATTTGGTGATGTTTGAAGCTGTTTTGATTGTCATGACAAAAGAAGTTACTGGCATCTTGTGGGAAGAGTCAGGGATGCGGCTCAACATTCTCCAATGCCCAGTACATCAGACTAATCTGACTCAACATGTCAATATTGACAAGATTGAGAACTCTTCCTATGGAACAAGTACAATTCCCCCCACCCCCAGATTTTCATTGTGAATTGAGTGAAGGTTTACAGATCAGATCACCAGTTTTACATTCAAGGAGTCATTCATTTACTTTGATTCATTTCGTCGTTGCAATCCCTTCCATGCACCAATAGTTAACAGCATTTACCCTTACTCACTTTATTGATTTCATTCCTCCCTCTGTCTCCCGCCACCTTCATCTTCCTCGGCTAACCTCCCTCTTGTATATTTCCTGCCCTGTCACCCGTGTTAACATGTGTCTACCCTCTGTTGTTGTGTGCCGTCGAGTCAATTCCAACCCATAGCAACCCTGCATAGGGTTTCTTCTGAGGCTGTAAATCTTCACGGGAGCAGAAAGCCTCCTATTTCTCCCATGGAACAGCTGGTAGTTTCGAAATGCTGACCTTGAAGTTTGCAGCCCGATTTGTAACCACTACACTACCATAGCTCCTTGTCTACCCTCTAGCCCGTGAACAATTTTCCCTCTTCTCCACCTCCATAACCATCATAGGTTGTTTCTCTTATCAAGAAAACATTTTTTTTTTTTTAAGTTTTACAGCATTGGTCTCATACAGTATTTGTTTTTTGTAATTGACTAATTTCATTCAGTATAATGTTCTTCAGGTTCCACCATATTGTGAGGGGTTTCATAGATTCATTCATCATTAGTCATCATTTTGTAGTATTCGCTTCTGTGTATGTACCAGAGTTTGTTTAGCCATTCTTCTTTCTGTTGATGGGCATTTAGGCATTCTCCAACTTTCTGATATATCTCTTGTAGAAAACATATCGAAGGATCTTGTTTTCTTATCATTCTGCTCTCTGTCTCTCCCCCTCCCTCATTCTGCAACTAAGCACTCTCATGAAAGCTTGTAAGCCATCCACTTCATGACTTTGTAGCAGTCTCCCCCCCCCCCCCCCCCCGTGTCTAAATTTCTTGTCCTTATCAACCCTGTACACTGAGGAAAGAAGCTTGTTCCTTGATATGAAGAATATTTCCTTTCCGATTGGAATTTTGAGTCACCACATTCATAGGCAAAAGTCTAATTTGTCAAATTGTAGTAATTTGCACTTGTTTTCAAGTATCAAACATCTTTATCTTCCTTGGTCAGCTAGTCATCTAAGCTAGGTCAAATGGGTACTAGCTGCAAGTTCACACACTTCAGACCATCTAGCTGCTTCACTCCCAGCCCCAGCCCTAGACCACAGGGGCAAGGTCAGCGCTTCTGGGATCGGCAGTTCATACATCTTCCTAAACTAAATATGATTGTATATCAGGAAAATAAAGTTTAATTGATCATTTGACTCCAGAGTTCTGCCTTTGTTATAACAGACTTGTATTGAACAAGACAGACTGGGCCAAGCATTTGAAGATGCTTTTGACATATTAAGACAGCATTCAACTGGCAACCTTCAGTACTCTCCAGGTAATAAGCCATTCTTTCCTTTCTATTGTTACATTAAACAGCTTGTTGGTCACATATGCATGTAAGAACAGAGAACAGGTGGGGAAGATCGTTTTAAACTAAAGCATCTAGAGCTATTTCTAATCAAGGCAAAAAGCATCCAAGGTTGCCCAGTCTAACTAATCTCTATATAAAAATACCGAGTGTAGCTAGTGACATGTCCCACAGAAATCCAAAGCCTGATAATTATCTGATATTTTTACTATTTGGTTGACATTTATTTATCTAGTGTTGTTTTTAAGTGCCATTGAGTCAGTTACAACTCATAGAGACCCTGTATAGGGTTTCCAGGAAAAGCAGTGCTTATCCTACAATGCCAAAGCAGGACTCCATTTATCTAGTAGACACATTATTTCAACTTTTAGAAAAGGCTTTGCAACTGTTTAATTTACCTTACAAATTGATATATTCTGTTTGAATACAGAGACTCATGGACTCTAGAGACAAAGCGTAGGCAAGATGCAAATATTTTGCCTATTGAGTTTAAACAGGGTATTGGAAAGGATGGGAGCACAATGCTTCATACACTAAGCACTGGACTGAGAACCACAAGGTCCACAATTTGAGCCTGCCAGTTGCTCCACAGGAAAAAGATGAAACTTTCTGTTTCCGTGAAGATTTAAAGCTTCAGAAACCCCATGCAGGATCATTATGAGTCATTATTAGTCAGAACCAACTCCATAGCACTTAGCAGGACAGCAATCAGAGAAGCTAGGTCACTGGGTGTGTTTCAAAGTGGTATGCAATCGTTAACCGACTCAGCAGCACCACAGAAGAAAGATCTGGTGATCTGTTTCCGTAAAGATTACAGTCAATGGTGCCTGATGACCAACTGCTCTGTAAGGGATCACTTTAGAACGTCCTGGATAGAGTGGGAGAAAATGTGGAACAAAACTCAAAATTGTTTTAAAGAAAATCGGCCTTACTAGTCACAAAAAGACTGCATGAACCTGAGGCCATGGCTCTTGACACCATCCTTCATGTCTGGAAAGGAAGTCTCCCTTGTGGCCTGATTTTCAGCCAAGCAGTCGATAGGTTTATAGGGAGACAACAACACTGTAAGGTATGCTCACCATGGAATGGTCAATCATTCCAAGTCAAAAGGCTAACGTTTCCCTAAGGCTAAAGTTGAAAAGGGTTGGAAAAGTGGATGGAATGCACATAGGAACCAGAGGGAGGAAGCAGGGTAACTGCTGTTGCATGCAGGGGATTGTAATTATTGAGATGAAACGAAGTGTACGATTTGTTGAGTATAAAACCGATGTCTTGTCTGTGCACCTTCACTCAAGTCACAATAAAAAATAAAAAAAGAGATTAATCTAATGGAGCAAAACTTGATGAGTCAGAATAGACTGGAATGCCAAAGGTTTTTTTTTTTTTTGTAGTGGTATTAATTGGGGATACCATGATAAAGGAAATCACAAGGTCCTTAGCCTTCAATGAGCATCCACTCTAGAAAGGGAAATGGAGTATATGAACAGGTATTTATTTGTAAAACAGCACAATGTCATACACACTATGAGGTGGTGGTTAAGTGCCATGGAGTCGGTTCCAACTCATAGCGACCCTGTACAGGCTCTCTGAGGCTGTAAATCTTTATGGGAGCAAGAAAGCCTCATCTACCTCCCAGGGAACAACTGGTAGTTTTGAACTGCTGACCCTGAGGTTAGCAGCCTGATTCGTAACGACTACGCTACCAGAGCTCCTTACACACTATGAGAGGAAGTACAAATTGGAAAGGGAGCAATTATTCCAGGAAGCTGTTTTACATGTAAACAAATGTAAAAGTTGCCCATTTCAGTGTCTTTCTCTGTTTTTAAATTAGATTACAAAAACTATCTGGCTTTCATCAACCACTGTCCTCATGTCAGAGGCAGTGCCAGCTACTGTGGTGGAGGGTTACCTCCCGAAGACCCTGTCTACAACTGCAGGACTGTAATTGTGAGTATGCGTGCCAGGAGGCCATCCATGAGGAACAAACAGCTCATGGCTCCTGGGTGTCAGCCTTCTATCTGGGTTGTGCCTGCTGAAACCTAACTTAAGGAGAGCACCAACCGAAAACAGTCATCCGTTGTGATATAAACTTGACACGAGTGGATGATTGTCCACAGTGGTGTCAGGAAGGAAACTGTCCTTCCATCAGCCTCAGGCTGGTTTGGAATTATTTCCATTGCTAGGCTTCTCAGGTTATTGCGTCTCTTAGTCAGTCCCTCCAGAAAATACAAACAAATGAACAAACAAACAAAAAACCAGTTGCCATCAAATTGATTCTGACACATATGTGTCAAAGAAGGGCTGCTCCGTTGCTGATTCTTTTGGAAACACATCAACAGTTCTTTCTTCTAAAGCAGTTAATCAACAGTTCTTTCTTCTGGGTGGACTTGAACTGCTAACCTAGGGATTCAGTCCATTTAGAAAACTATGAACAGTGCCCCTAGAAGTCATTGAGGAGAGACCCAGACTTACTCGGCATTGGCTCGACCTCCAGTTTTCAAAGCTCAGAGCTAGCTACATTATATATAGTTATAT